AAACACAAACACATGATTCGAGAGATAATCACGAGGAGTCTATGACTTCATTATAAACCGAATTTCTTTTCCACATGAACTCATAAAAATTAGGATAAGAGGGTACTTATCAAATTGTTGCATAATCTATGCAACTCAAATAACCAATGTGTAATCTAATATTATTTATGTCGTGCTTCTGTGGTAACATGAAATGAACTGTCTTGTACTCTCATAAACCCAATTTCACCGTAATCTGCAAACCTCAATTGGACTTCTCTAGTAGAAACAAACTAGCGTGGGCCCCGACCATTTGGCCGGACGAAGATGAGGTATGAAATTTGATAATATAATGGGGTGTATAGTTTATTGTTGTATAGTTTTTTTTGGGAAACACGTGATAAAAATAGTGAATTTTAGTAGAAAAGAGACATGAATGATGCAACGAATCAAAAATCAGTCTTATGAACCAAAATCAAGTACATGTTACCTTGTGAAACAATATTGTTTCTGGTAATATGATGAGGTGGAGTAAGTTTTATAGAAACCGAATTCCAGAAAATCGAATAAAAAATCGCATATCCCGCCGATTTTCGGGAAATGAGCATCTCACAATCGTTGCTAGCTTTTACTCGGCCCGTTGGCCGATTAATTTGCTTTATAAAACTTTCATCTTCTCATCATTGTGCTTTCTGGTTTTTTGCCAAGCCATGATAAAATCTAAAGAAATCAAGAATGAACAGCACGATTTGGGATAGGAACCACCGTTCCCGTATCCCTAGAAAATGGTGGTAAACACGGACTCACCTGCCAAACTGGTTTGGATTGAGATTTTTATAGGGTATCAGATAACCATGTGATTATAAATTAGACTTGATCAAAATGGGCCAAAACTTGAAAATCAGCTTGTTTGACCGACCCATGCCAAACTCTAATTATTCTTTACTTTTAAACTTTATATTTGAAAATAAAAAATAATAAAAGAAAAGAGATGACTGCAATTCACCATTTGCACATCACTGATTCGGGAATAAAACTATAGAATTTCGAAAGGAAACTGAAAATGTTTAGGATCGTTTTAATGTTAAAAATAACCAAATAGATCTTTCTGTTTAGTTTTTTACTAACAAATACCAAACGATTCCCTATAATATACACTATAATTTAATCATTATGATATCAAATAATTACATAATATATATTTGAAATGATAAAAATTGGACTAATTGAGTTGGTCGAAGTTGAACCATTGAATAACTTTATAATACATTATATTTTAGCCACTAAGATATAAAATAATAGCATAGTATATATTATGCTAGAGAAAATAGCTTGTTTTAGAATGACAAACCCATGATGTTCATTTGTTTTACTTGATGGGCAAATCCCTTGTAGGTCAGACCCGTTCAACTCTTTTATTTTATGATTAGCGGTTAGCCCATTAGAATCCATGCATTAGTTTATTGTTAATTTTTTTTCTTTTTAGCAATAAAAAGGAGTATTGGTTTTGCCTTTTCACATATATATTTTATCACCATGGAGAAATAAAAGGACTTAAAGAAAAAAATTGACACTCCTGGACCCGTTTAAATCCGCATGTGTACGGTAAGTTGGCCCGTTCCACAGAGGAAAAAGAAAAAAATTGACACTCCCTATTCTACTCTTCCTACAAACGCTCCTGGAGCAGGGGATTTTAAATGGGGAAAGAGTTTTTTCCTCTCTGCAATTATATGTTTTTAATTTAAAAAGATACAACAAATGTACTTAGTGTGATTGGTTATGATCTTTGTTTTTCTTTAAAATGGTCATGGTTCGAATCCTAGTAAGTGTCTTTTTAATGAATAAAAAAAATAATTGTGAAGACCAAAATGTCCTTCCTACTTTCACTCTGGATGCAGGAAATTTGAAATGGGGCTTCAAGTTTTCTCATTTGGCTTTTATTTATTGTGTAGATGTAGATATGTTTTCTTTGAAGATGCATGCAGGTCGACACTACTATATTTGTCAATATGATATTTCATATTTGTAATCCCGACGATAAATTATCAAAATTTTATTGAAGTATGCAGGTTCAAACTTCCAAAATTCACAAGACATAAAGGAAACGCCAAATTCGGTATCTTGGTGCCAAAATTGGAGCCGACTGCTTTGTCTATTTACTGGTTCTCTTGGGTTCCAACTAGATTATCAACCGTAATTTTTCTTGACACAAATCTTATGAAGTGTTGTGAAAAAAAGATGGTTTCTCTTTCTGCATTCGTCTATCAAAAAGGTAATAGTCATTGTAAAATCCTTCTAAACTCTACTACTTGTTATAGTTATAGTTATAAATATGTGATCACATGATCTATTAAATCAAAGAAAGATCAAAAGAAGAATCTCTCGAATAAAAAGAAATAAAAGGAAGATCAAAAGAAGAATGTTGTGCCAAGATAAAGTATAATAATAGGTGGAAGTAACAAGGCAATGCTAGGCAGATATGTAATTATTTCATGATGATCGGATTTTGGAGCACAAAGTTATGATTATTCAAAGTTATTGAGGATTTTAGTGTTAAGGATTAAAACTTTTTCAATATGTAATTATTTCAACAGAAGAGTTGTAGTTTGGTGTTGTCAATGTTGTGCTAAATTTAGTTAACTATTTATTATCTAGGTTCGAACCACCACATCCACAACATGCTGCTTTTTTAATCTCTACTAAATAAAAAGATTTAATATGAGAGGATAGTGTTTCGAACCTAGGACTTCTTACACACAATAAAAACTAAACAAATTGTGCCAAGACCACTTATGACATTTATGCAGGAAAAATATATATATTACAAACCGTTGGGTGGGGTGCGGTTTGCAACCAAACCGCCCCAGCCTAATGCGGTCAGCAAAATCGCCCCCTACCCATGCGATTTTCATTAGAAACCACGCCCCCACCCTGCGGCTTTCGTGTAAACCGCTGGGTGGGATGGCGGTTTTTGGGATTGAGTGTTATTTTTGAACTTTTCGGGATTGAGTACTATTTTTGTAAAAAAAAAAATTAAACATTGCTATTTCTGGAAAAAATCCGAAAGTGGCTTCTTCTTTTCCACTCTCATAAAAGGAAGAAGGTGTGGAATTGACTCTTGACCAGCTAAGCATTGTGGACCAAGCCATGACCTGGTAGGCTTTTTGACAAGGCCGTGAACTTGATTTCCACTGAAATATTTTACAGATCATTTGGTACCAAATGAATGTAGAATCATTTCGTTTTAAAATGAATTCCTGTGTAGAATTCCTTTGTTTGGTATATGCTATAAGCGTTACAATCAAATTCGATGTTCCTCATACGGCATGAATTGGCGTCAAATAATATATGTAGAAGTAATTGCCATTTCTATGATACCGGCACGGCATTAGTGCCGCCATTTTCTTAGCCGTTGGATTTGGATCTGTGGAGCTTAATGATGGTCATTGATTAATAACAAACACTTAGCCGAATATGGTTGAACCTGTTATATATGGTTGAACCTGTTATATATGGTTAAACCTAAATTTGATTCACATTCATGATTATAGTAATCAACGGAGAGAAAAATTATTTGTTAATTACCAAAAAAAATTGATTTGTTTCTAAAAGATCCTGCTTCCTGTCGGATACGGAAAACTAATGAATTCTGGTCTTCTTCTTCTATTGATCGCCGGCTGGAAGTGAAAGTCAACACCGGCAACATAATTAATCATTTCACAGCAAATACATCTTCTTCGTCTCATTTTGATCACAATTCCTATAATTTGGTATTGGAACGGCGAATTCCCTAGACCATCGCTGAAAAGAATTCTACTCTGGCAAACTTTTTAATCGGCATCCACTGTACAGTTACGCTTTGGTGGTGGCAAGAGCGTTGATGCCATGGTGATTCCGAATGACTAGGTATAGGAATCTGTCTGCGCAATGACTGTGCGCTTAAAAATGAATTTTTTTAAATACCAAACACATAAAGATTTCATTTCAAAATAAATTTCTTAAAACTTATATAATTCATTTATAATAAACGATATGTTAACTTGTAACCAAATAGTGACAAGATTGTGAGACTAAAGAATTTAGTCTAATGATAAAACTATTATCACTAGTATTCAACTTACAAATTTTATATTCGAATAACTAAAATAGCATTTAACCACATAAAAATAAATCAACGTAAAAATATCGAAAACTAATAATAATCCTCAAATGATTGCATATGCAACGATTGTTCTGAAAGTTATTCAACAAGTGTTGCAATAAGTAAATATTCTTATCTCGATTATCTTGAGTACCCACCAACTTTGATTATACGTGATAGGAATTCATATATATATATATAACTTGTTGAAACACAAGGAAAACACTCACGTAAAACAACACAGTCTTTGAATGATCTTTGGTGATCCAAATATGTGGATCACTATTGCAACTAGGGGTCAACAACTCTTCATTAACTCCAAAAGCAGCTAATATGTTTTATTGATTTAACAAAACACATATTTCCGCACGAGTAATTATCCTATAAATTAATCTAGATAGATTCATGTCCATCTAATCACCTTTAGTATTATTTTGAGTCATTAATATTAGATTTATCTCCACTACTCTTCTTATTGGTCCAACCCCAACCAAGATCTCCCTTATGACCATGCATATATTCTCCCACTTCCGATTCACTTCCTCTAATCTTCCTCGCAAAAACATGATTAAGAAATTGTATTATAAGCACCTTCCCCACTTGCTCATACATCCATTCCCACCTCTCCAGCACATTATATATACAATCACGACACATTCAATCCCACCTCAAACCCTAATATTTACCTAGCTAGCTTGCCTCAAAAGAAGTCTCCTCTCTCAATCCACTCCTTCGGTTTCCGATAACAAATCACACACATGGCTCCAACTTCTACTTACGATCATGAGCAACAACTTTCATGTGAGATAGTGATTCACCAAGCCAAGAATGTGGAAGAGTTCATGACGACGAACAAGTCATCGTACAAATATTCCAAAGGGGATTTGTTCTTGAGATACTATCTCTCAGCAGGAAACAACAAAAGAATCCAACTCGACACCCTCCAGACTCAATCAACAGCCTCCAGGCAAGCACCGTGGTTTTCGAGCTGAGATGGAGATCGTCAAAGGAGAACACCATCCTTGCGTTTGGAGGTTCGAGGCTGGTTGGTGAAGCTGAGCTTCCTTGGCAAAGTGTCATGGAGGCGCCAGGAATGGAAATTGAGAAATGGGTTGTTATGAACCCAAAGAATGGTAGTCTCCTTGATGGTGTCAAGGCTCCGTCGGTGAAGATTGGCATGAGGGTTAGAGTTCCAGTTGCAATGGAGACGAAGAAGAAGAAGAAGAAGAAGAACAGCAGAAATGAGAAGACAAGGAATGTGAATTATGAGTGTGCGTGTCAAAGACACAATGGTGGCTGCAATTTTTGTGAAGGATATGCTGTTCTTGCCTTAGTGGCTGCTTTCGAAGCATTATAATATAGCTAATAATAATATTGAGAAAAAAGAAAGAGAGGAAGGAGTAGTGTTAATTAACATTGCAATTATTGTTCCCTTTGGTTTTGATTAATTCTTTTAAACCTTTTCACTTCTAATCGATCAAACAAGTGTATAAATGCATGAATTGTGCATTCTGTTTCAAGAGTGGATATCAAGCCTCTGGAGATTTTCTTTTACTCACATTTTTTTTTAATTATTTGGCCTTTAGTTTATTCAAATAAAAAGTTAAGGGTTAAAGACACATTTAGTCACTGAGATTACAAAATCGGGACATGTTTAGTCACTAGAAAAAGTTAATATCAAATTTGGTCACTACAATTACTAAAACTGGACGCATTTAGTCACTCGCCGTTAGTCTCCGTCCAACTCCGTTAATGAAGTCCGTTAAGTGCTGATGTGGCAAACAGAATTGCCTAATCAGCCGGATATAACCCAACAAAAATGAAACCCGACCCGCCACGTCATTATAACCCACCACCTCATTAAAACCAACCCAACCCTACCCAACCCTTCTTCCTCCTTCCTCCCCAACCGGTGAAGGCTGGGTTTCCGATGCGAAGTTGAGCACCATCAGGAAGCTGAGCTCGGTCTGGGAGGCCGAGGCGTAGATCCCCTGGGCCCGGCCCACGAGCTTGGAGCTCAATCGGGGGCCCACGGTCAGCGGGTTGTCCATCATCGTCACCATCCCGAACGCCGTGCGGGAGATGTTGGTGGTGGCGGCCTGTGCCACGCGGACGGCGGTGGGGTTGCGGCCGCTGACGATGTCGTGGAAGTAGATCCGGAAGTGGCTCAATTTCTCCTTCCCCAGTTTCTGCGGGCGCAGAGTTCGGGAGAATCGGCGGCTGTCGGGTTTGGCGAGCGAAATGGCGAGGGAGAGGGAGAGGAGTAGTAAGAGGAGGGACGCTTTGGCGGCCATGGATTGGGGCTGTGTGAGGGATTGGAGATGACGAGACTGATTGAGTTAGGCGGGATTGGGATTGTGGTGCAGTGTTCGAAAGGGAGCATTGGTGGTATTTAATGAATTAGGGGAAGGCGATGGAGATTTGACTTTGACTGATTTCGCCGTATTGTTCGGGTCGCCGCCGGTGAAGGTTGGAGCGTAAAGGTCGAGTGCTTCGGCGGGAGGAGGTGGGAGGCGGGAGGAGTGGGTGGGATGGGGAAAACCCTAAATTGGGTTGGGGAGGAAGGAGGAAGAAGGGTTGGGTAGGGTTGGGTCATGGGTTGGGTTGGTTTTAATGAGGTGGCGGGTTATAATGACGTGGCGGGTCGGGTTTTATTTTTGTTGGGTTATATCTGGCTGATTAGGCAATTCTGTTTGCCACATCAGCACTTAACAGACTTCATTAACGGAGTTGGACGGAGACTAACGGCGAGTGACTAAATGCGTCCAGTTTTAGTAATTGTAGTGACCAAATTTGATATTAACTTTTTCTAGTGACTAAACATGTCCCGATTTTGTAATCTCAGTGACCAAATGTGTCTTTAACCCAAAAAGTTAATTACTTTCAATTAATTAATAGCAAAGCACTAGTTGATTTTGATGAACAATTGTTGATCAATTGACGGGATATCTTAATCTAAACAAGAGATATGTTGAAATTTTCTTGTATGAAATAGGGGTCAATTATGACTAACGTTAGTGCAAATACACATGTAAAAGCATTCATATGACTAGTGTTTGTGCAACCAGATGCAGAATGGCCAAATTGGTCAATGCCCTCTTCATAGAAACACTGTCAGTTATAGGGAGCGGATCGGTCAGTAATTTGGTCGGCTATTCAATAGCTATAAAATTTTCAATTAAATTTAATGGACTATATTTTTTCGCTTTAGTTGAAATTCAAATTTTTTGCGCAGTATAATCAGGTTAATCGTGCACCTCAAAAGGACATGTACTTTGATACATTTTGGAACAAAACAATTTGAGACATCTATTACTGGTGTATACCATGATGCTAATGCTTGTTAGTATATAAGATTATACCACCGTGGTATGAAAATGTACAATAGTAATGTGAATATAGTATAGTGTAGAATGATTATATACATGATTGTAAGAATACTTAAACCATCTTTTACCACTAGTTACCATCTTATACCAAGGTGGTATAGGATAATCTATTTGATCCTGAAAATTTTTTCCCATAAATTTTTAGGTCACTATATGTCACAATAAACACGTTTCTTATGTACAAAAACTTTAAAATTTGAGTTGAAAACGAATGTGGTATGACGACGGGAGGATGGAGCAGTTTGGCGAGGTAGATGGGAATAGGGCTGGAATTTGGTACCAATATTTAGGACAACCAAATACCGTATCGTATTTGTCGATACCTAGTATTACTCAATACACGTATTATTTCACGAGATTGGGACTGAGATTGAATTTCAAGTGTTATTTGGTTTTAGAGATTACACGATTCGGATCAATTTATACCTAGATAGCGACAAATATCAAAATATAAGTTAGTGTGTATTTTATCTCTCCCAACTAGTCTTCCTCACTCATTGCTATGAGAGCCTCAACCAGCAAAATGACCACTTAATTATACATAGCTCATCCCCTCACTATTTGACAAGCCATGCTAGCCTCATTTTGCTACTTGTAGTATGTTTATGGGCTGTTTGGACATCTCATGTTTCAGTTTGTTGCTTTAGTTTACTGATGTGTTTCTTAGGCACCACATTTTCCGCATTCTTTTTTATTAGCCAAACATATTGAATTACTAATAATTAGTCAATCGTTAACTTCCATTTAGCAATTTTGTAATAATATTGACTTGACAACATGATACTGACTTGGAAGAGACATATGGAGGTTAACATTCCAAAATTTGAGTATTTTAACTAAGAAAAAATTACAAAATTACTAACGCTAACATAAAATAGCTAATATTTTGATACATTACAAAATATTTAATTAATTATTAGTAATTTAATAGGTTTGGCTAATAAAAACAATAACGCGTGAAAAGATTTGGCCAAAAATAAATGAAAATTTTAAAAAATTTGTGAGGTTGAATGGGGTAAAAATATTGTTTAAGAAAACACATAAACAGCCAAAGGCCAAAGGTTGAGGTTTTTGAAAATTTCAGATGTTTTCGAAAAAGTCATTGCTTATCTGGGGAGGGGAATGAATGAATTCAATTTCAAAGATCTGATTCAAAATTAAACATACGACAGACGAACGAAACATTCTCAGTCCTCCGTTGCACACTGAACTCTCTCTCTCTCTCTCTCTCTCTCTCTCTCTCTCTCTCTCTCCTTTCCTTTCCTATCTTATCCCTATCACACACAAACAGAATCGATCGAACTCAGATCCCCTGCGGTTCATAATGGACAAGCGCGCAGCTGCGAGAAACCCACACGCTTCCACCGCCGATCTCCTCACCTGGTCGGAGGTTCCTCGCCCCGATTCCCCGGCGACCCCTCGCTCCGCTACCCGCTCCTCCCATCAGGTTTACTTTCCCAGCTTTCCCATTTCTTTCCGTGATGGATCTCAGCTGGCTCAAAGCCCCTGCATTTCGAATGCTTCCTGATTTGCATTCCCCTGTTTGTTTCCTATCTGGGTTCGCGTTCTTTTCAGCCGTCGGATAAAATCAGCAAGGTGGTGTTCGGAGGCCAGGTCACCGACGAGGAAGCTCAGTCTCTCTCCAGCGCGTAAGATTTCAAATTCTCTCGCTTTATTAATCTCCATCGATTTCTCTTCCCCAGGTTTGCTCTTTTTAGAATACGAACACCCTTCAAATTTGAGCTAGACAAAGAATTGAGATTTCAGATCTACAGCTGCATGTTCCTTCCTCGTCGGGGGTTTCCCCTTCCACAGCAAAGGAAGGATTTAACATCTAGTTCCTAGATGACTATTGGGTGTACAGAGTTCTGTTGAATGTTCATTTTCTGATTTTCGCATAATGAATTGGGTGAATCAATGTAGCCATGGAATGATGGAAATGAGCTGATGGGTTCTTTTTGGTAACTGCAGGAAGCCATGTTCAGGGTATAAGCTGAAGGAAATGACTGGTAGTCGCATTTTTGGAGCTGAAGGCACCGCAGATGATGCATCTGAAACAAATCCTACTAACCCTAATGCCAGAACCACAGTTCGTATAGTTCAGGTATTGGATCGATGCGTGTTTTTATTTTGGTTATGTGTTTGTATTACATGTTCTTTGTATGGTAAGTTGATTATGGGTTTTGCAATCCTCTCAGCAAGCCACAAATGGGATCAGCCAAATCTCGTTTGGCACGGAAGAGACAGTCTCTCCCAAGAAGCCTAATTCTATAGCTGAAGTGGCTAAGCAACGTGAGCTGAGTGGAACTTTACAAACCGATTCTGATTCGAAGAACAAGAAGCAGATATCGAATGCGAAAATCAAGGAGATCAGTGGACATGATATCTTTGCACCTCCACAAGAGCCAGCTCCCCGATCGGTGCATGTTGCACGCTCCCTGGAGTCCAGGGAGAACAACAAGGACATTGGTGAACCTGCTCCCCGGACCATTCGCACTTCTGTCAAAGTGTCTAATGTAAGCACATTTCTTTAAGTAGCTCTAGACTTACTCTGCTATCTAGGATCCATTTTCCCCATTCAATTGTTGATTGGTAATTCAGTGGCCAACTTTCTTTAGTTTGAGCCACATATGACTCTTTTTAACTGCCTTGATATGTTTAGCTGCCGGGGAAGATGATTTTCTTAGCTATGAGATGTCCTCCTGACTTTTTCAGCTCTTTTTGTTTTAAATTTGAACAGCCTGCTGGTGGCCAGAGCAATATACTATTTGGCGAAGACCCAGTGGTGAAGACAACAAAGAAGATACACAACCAGAAGTTTCAGGAGCTAACAGGAAACAACATATTCAAGGGAGATGTTCCACCTGGATCAGCTGAGAAGACAATAAGCACAGCCAAACTTAGAGAGATCAGTGGCAACAACATCTTTGCTGACGGAAAGGCAGAATCCAGGGACTACTTCGGTGGTGTTCGCAAACCCCCAGGTGGCGAGAGCAGCATTTCACTCATATAAACTGCTTCTAACTGTTCCCTTCCATCACCAGTTACTACTGGGGTCAGGATCAATGTCATCCATCCCCTAGAACTCCATAACCAGAATATGCTGTTGGCTTTAGTTTAGTTTCTGGGATTCCGGGGTCTATGGTGTTGGCTTTCTCTTTCCGCCTTTTGTCTTTCTTTATTCACCACCTTAACTTAACCACGTATGCCATAGCCATAGAGTGCTGGACTTCACAGGCTTGTGGAGTTACCTATGTACTGCTATTCCCCACTGGACAAAACTTGGGACTCTTTATATATTTCGCTACATGGGCTTATCCTTAACAATGTATGTAGGGCTGTTTTTTGGTAGCTGATAAATGAAGGTGTACTAATCACCGGAGGAACAGACCCCGCAAGGGAGCATCAGGCCGGGATATGATAAGTGTAGTCCATTCGGTCACTAGAAAGACTATAGGTTGTATGTTTGTGTTGTTGCAGATAATGATAGGGTAGTTAATTCGGTAAAAACTATTTATTTGTTGTGTGAAGGATTGGGTTGTATCTTTGTGTTGTTGGTTATTCCAATGAGCTTTTTTGAGGTTATGGAAATGAGTTTTTTCGGTGACTAGAAAGTTTCTTTCTTTGTATCATAGGATTTGATTTTGGTTTAATTGCTTAAAATGGTATGAAACATATGCTTACATGTGCGTAAAGCCTTGATGGGACATTTATTCTGCCAACATATCATCAACACTAATAAAACATTAAATGTCTACGTAGACTTTATATCGAAGGTAAGGTTGTTAACATGCCTCACACAATATTTAATGCTCTCTGATTATAAATACCCATCTTCAACAATATTTACGACATTACAATTCACTTGCAATTGCATATATGTGGGTTTAAGCGACTTTCTAATAAATAAAAATAGATCAGTTAAGAGAAAAATACATTGTTTTTCCCCCCTCCTATTTGGCTTGCATTTTCAATTTCATTTAATGCAAACTTGCATCTTTGCAAGTGCACACTACATTGGTGCAATCTCATTTGCAATTGCATACGAAGTGTCATGTATGATTTGCAATTGAGCAAATAACATTGATGTGGATGCTCTAAACACACATCATAAACAATTGCAGAAAAAGAATATAATTGTGCAATAGGTTAACCATTATATATATATATAAAAAGATGATCTAGGTTACCTTCAATTATAGGTGACACTTTAATCCAATCTATCGACCAAAAGTCCAACTAATAAGATCTATTTGATCCAAATAGATGTTTTTTTTTATAATGGTGAATATATTAAAACTAGAAAAAACAATTGTTCGAATACAGCAAAGCAACAAACACGAAACACAACAGGGGGTTCGAAAGGATTGAACCACAAGAACAAACAGTTTATTAAATATATTTTACAATATGATATCTAAACTTTAATTTTTATTGAAAAATATTCTTCAAAAGTGCATATTAGTATGGAATTTTTTTAACGACATATTATTACCTAATTTTATAAAAAAAATTATAGCAGTAAAAAATGGAGATACTATTGGATCGACAGAATTTACGTGATTTTCTCGTTTAGGGAGAACGAGACTAGTCCACGGCCGAAACAGTAGTCATCTTATACAGGTGCCTTTACAGAATACATGGGTCAGACTGGCGTACGTCATGAGTATACTATACGTCAGGTACTACTAGTGAGATATCTCTATCTAGACCATGAATTAAATCAAGTTTGGGGTATGATACTATACCCTAACCTCTAATGGATAAACCCCAGACACCGATTTTCTAAACCCCAACCCGAAGTTTGATTTAATGAAAAACAAAAATTGACCGTTGAGATCGGCCTGAGCTCATCTAAATACATCTAACGGTTAGGTCACCTGTTGTATACTATATGTCTGACGTACACCAGTCATTACCAGAATACATAAGTAGGTTTATATATAGTTATTATATGATTAACCCTAGCCGAGTTCCCTAAGAGTAAGGGTGGCTATACGGTCCAGTCCGGTTAAATTGGACCAAATTGATCTGATCCCAGTCCAGTCTTTTCGGGAATATAAGGAACAAAGATTGGATTGGATACAGTCCGGTCTTGACCCGGTCCGGTCCCAATTTGATCTTGATTTTAGGTGTTGGGGGTCTCTTATCCGGGTTTCTTACCTCAAATCTAAGCCCGAATATGAGATTGGATTATTTGCTATCCGGTCCCAGTCCGGGTTATACGATCCGGTTTCGGGTGAAACCAAACAGTCCGGGACCAAATAACCAGCCCTACCTAAGAGAGCACGGCTACAACTACACAACAGGCCCTGTTGTATACACTTGGGTCGAGCCCTATATCTCAACACTGCATTGAAGAGAGTTGGCGGATTTCCAAACCGGGCTCCGGCCGCTGGGTGTGTGGATTTGCTTGGACGCACGATTAGCGAGCGACAAAAGGATAAGTGGGTGACGACGAAGACGATAACGGACTGCCACCTAATTAATCCAACAAACGAAATTAATTAATAGTAAATAAAATATCCATTTCCAACTCGTAGTCCTTTCGCCTGCCGAGCGGTGACCAGTCCCATTCATCCCCGCAGAACACGACGATGGTGTGACTACAGACCCGGAAGAAGGTAAATAATCAAATTTCTGGAGCTGCCCGGAGTTAACAGTGGATTACGGATTGCCCAAAGAAAAAACAAAGAATGGTGTCTTTGTTGGGTAGTTACTAGATAAGCCAATAGAGGTTCTCTTTTCGTGTTGACGAGTCGGGTGCTTGGAACTCGGAAATTTCATCATCTCGACTTGTGCCGGGAAGGAGAACGACTGGAAAGAGGGAGGCGATCACCAAGAGAGGAGAAATGGGGAAGCAGAGATCACTGAGGAGTAAAGCAGTTCATTTTGTGTCTGATCTCACCACTGGCCTTCTCAATCCTATCTCTGATAAACCTTCTTCCAACAACCATCCTCCTCCATCTCAACCTGTAAGTCTTTTTTTTTCAATTTCATCTTCGCTGCCACTGTGATTCTGGCATCAAATTTGGTTTTTGGGATGATTGGGTGGAAACCCAGCTCCTGTTAGACGATGGGTTTCGGGATTACAGCTTCTTCTTCTAGGTAATTTATAGGACTCGATTTTAGTGTTTTGAAAATGGAGGTTTCGTGTGTGTTAGATTAGGAAATGATAGGTTGCCAGGCCGATTGTTTGTTTTGGATGGAACCTATAGCCGTGTAAAAAGCTTACAGTATTTTCTGAAGCTGGGCTTTCTTCCTGAGTTGTAAGTGGTATCAGGCCATGATATCTCTCGTTTTTCATATCATTACATAACAGAACAGTCAAGCTGTTCATCAGCCTTTAGGACTCGAAAATGCTAAGTCAGATTTGAGCACAATGGTGAAGTGTTTTATGGTTTGCCATATCAGTTCTATTCTGACATGTGATTGTATGTCCACTAGGATCCTCGTCTGGGCTCCCTAAAAGGTGATTGCATTGTGGATTTCTAGACTAAAGTGATTTCTACTCTTGATGCAACAGGATAATCAGGATGACTCGAAAAGTAGTTCACTAGAATCAATCACTGAAGAAGATAGTGCCGATCCACTTTATGGGCCAGATACCTCTTCTTTCAAGGCATTTCTCTATTCGTTATTGTCTGCTTCTGAGCCTGGAAGCAAAGCTGAATCAGATGCTGAAAATGAATATCAAGGAGAAATGGGCGGGGATCAGCCATCTGACGGTGAAACGAAAGGGAACAGTGGGAAGAAAGGCTTATTGTCTAAGGGGAAACAATCTCTTAAAAACATGTACCAATACACTAGAATCAGTGGGTACTGGAGTCAAGAGCGGAAGGGTGATTCTAAGTCCAAATTTGAGAATGAAGTCAGTCCTGATAACTTTGATGGACTTGAGATGAAGGATATGCAGCCAAATGGGAAGCCGCCTGTTGCTTTAGAACATCTTCCTGACATTTCTGAACCATCATTACTTCTCTCGGAAAAGACAAGAACGGTGCTCTATGCTTCACTCCCTGCTTTGGTTAAAGGGAGGAAATGGTTATTGCTCTACAGGTGAGTGCTTGAGTGATGGAGAAATTTGTATGCTTGAGTTGTGATCTTGTAGATTTTTCGACCTGATACTACTCTCTCGTAATAGTTGATATTCTCGGCTCTGGCCTCTGTGTGTTTTTGCAGTACATGGAGGCATGGGATTTCACTCTCAACTTTATATAGAAGAAGCATGCTTTGGCCTGGTCCCAGCCTGCTGGTAATGCATGAATCAATAACATGGTCTCGACTTCATTTGGATAAACTTCACTTCTTTCTCTTAATCTCTTTTTGTAATTTTTATCTTTCTTTCAGCTTATTTATTCCCCTCTCCTCCTTAATCTTAGAGCCCAACAAACTAAAAAGGCCTAGATATGCTAGAGAATGCAACCATGTTTTTTACTGAAAGGTGAATGTTCTATGTACAACCAACTGGCTCCATAGATGTTTTAGGTCCTAGAATAGAACACAGAACAAAGGAAGGATAAAAAGTAGAAAACTTGATTGATTCTGAGAAGAGGGTGGAATGATGAAAGACCTTGTTCGGTATTGCTGCTGGTATTTTTAGTCACCTTCCATATTCTTTCGTTCATTTTCTTTCAGGTTGTTGGAGACAGAAAAGGTGCGGTTTTTGGTGGCTTGGTTGAAGCACCACTGAGACCAACAAACAAAAAATATCAGGTAACTTGTCGGGCTTCTATTCACTTATGCTTATTAAAATTTGAATGGATACTGACCTTAGATATTTACAGGGAACAAATAGGACCTTTGTCTTCACAAATACATCTGGAAATCCTGTTATATTCCATCCTACAGGTACTTCATGCCATCCATCTCCGCTTTACAGCTTTAGATTCTTGTTAAAATGTCTCTTTTATACGTCAATGTTGTAATCAAGCTGCAGAATTTCACATCACTTGAGTATTTTGCTAGTCAACTAGTTTTTCTTTCTTTCTTCAATTTGGTCGGTATGCTGTTTATGATACCAGTGTGAACTAACAGCTCAATCACCTGAGGAACCCTGGACTTGTAGTTGCAAGGTGAAATATGCCAGCCCTCTGGCTTGAAAAAGCTACCATTTCCTCAGAATAATATTAATGTAGCCGAGACCACTCGACCGATCTCATCCACTTGTTTGATATATTGATGAAAGACTCTTAGGATGTGGGCATATTAAATCGTAATGAAACACGATGCCTTTTCACTATGCAGTCTCAATGTGCAAAATGATTTTGTATCCCACACTAACCTAGTAGTGTCCTAATGTCTTGTACGAGATCAGGTGCAAATCGATATTACACATTGTGCTTGACCGACTTTCTAGCAGTTGGTGGTGGTGGCCACTTTGCGCTGTACTTGGACAATGAACTGTAAGCTCTGGTTTCCATAGCATGAAGAACACATATTCCATGCATATGCTCAAAGAACAAAAACGAGTAGGTGAAAACACGGAAGTTAAAAACTGCTTGACTTGTTGTGGTTGTCTTCTGTCAAAACAAGGTTGAACGGATCAAGTTCAGTGTCGGAAACATATGGAAACCCTTGCCTCGCATTCTCAGAGGACTTTGAAGTGAAAGAGGTGGAGGTATGGTTTCAAGCTTTTCTCTCTGTCTATGCTCGTGTATACTTGGTACTTTCCGCGGTGAAGTGAGGCCATGTTTATCTTCTCTGCAGTTGTGGGGGTTTGTGTATGGTACGAAGTACGATGAACTACTTGCTGCCAGTAGAACGGAAGCTCCTGGGATTTGCCGATGGTGACAGCGTAGAAAAGCTGCCAGCCATTTCCTTGGAACTGGAGATGCTTCTTTCATTTTTGTTGTACGCAAGGATAAGAAAGATGACGCCGAGGCAATCTAATTACCGCATGTACATAGAGACACAGACACTCACCTTTTATGTATAAACGAAATTCAAGGAAGATGACGCCGAGGCAATCTAATTAGTACCGCATGTACTTTTTTTTGACAATAGAAGCACTTGTATTGCATTGAGAATCACAGTTACAAGGAGCGGGATAAACACAATGAAAGCAAAACAACAATGAACTCAAAAGTCAGAGCAATCCAAACCAAAAGCAAAAGCCAGAAAGAACTGGAAAAGATTGAATCCAACAGAAGAATCCAAAACAGAAGGCTATCAAAGTGAACCCAGAACCCCTTGCTTCCACAACAATCAGCACAGCACAAGCAAGGTTTCAACTCGCCCGAAACCAGACAAGCCCATGGCTATTGAACATTGCAACGCCATAAGCCGCCACCTGGGGATCGTTCAAAGACGACCCATCACAGTGAATCTCATGGAAGAGAAAACTCGGCGGTGAGCAGGCTGAAACCGGGATGCTCTGAGCTGAAAGAGGCCGAGGAAGCCGGAGGCATGGATGACCAGGAATCGGGAAAGAGAAGATTCATCTTCACCATCTCCAGAGAACCAGCGAACCACAACCCACAACACCAAAAATGACACCAGACCCCCACAACAGTCAACCTACAGGAATCAAGCAAACCAAAGGTAGAAGGAAGGGAGGAACAGTGAATCTGTCCACCAAAAGAGATGAGCACACCAACATGGAGCAGACCCCCAACAGCAAACCACCATTAGAAGCTCCCCAAGCTGCAATTTTTGGATCCAATGAGCAAGGCCAAACAGATCTACGAACCAGAAAAACACTGTGGATAAAACCACTTGGAGAAAGACAACAAGGATCTGGAAAAAGCCAACAAGGGCAAGAGAAAGGCAGCAGGACAAACAAGAAAGAAAAAAAACAGGAAAGAAAACAGGTTGGGCCACCGCCGGACACCCAGGGGAACCGGCGGCAGCCCTGAATAGAAGGGGGGGAAAGTGAAAAACCAAAGTTTAGAGAGAAGGGAGAGCTTCAGATTCAAAATAAAGTTAAGAGAGAGAGACTACTTGATTATTAGTACCGCATGTACATAGAGACATATACATAAGATGACTCCTATGGACTCTTTATTATATATTTTTATATGGTCCAAACTTTACCGTAATTTATATGGTCCAAACCTAAAAGAGTTGATTTGACCCTACTCGAGTGTTGATCGTTATGTTGGATGGTCATCATTGTTGACTAATGGTCAGCCTGTCATGTCACCGCCTAGAAATAATAAACGAACTTAAAGCATTTAGAAAATCCACATGATACCCAGTTTTGGATTTTCTCCCAAATTGAACAAAAGGCAAAATAAATGAAAAAATAAATAAAATTTTAGATGTGGCGATCGCTGTTGAGACCCTAATCAGCCGGCCGCTGTTGAGAAAAGATGTGGCGATCGCTCTTTGGAAATTTCTACCGGCGTCTCCTCTGTTCGTCTCGCAGCGTCGAATTAGCAAAACGTTCCCTCCCAATCTTTCCTCCTCCTTCGCTGGCTGCTTATTCTGCGCGTAGTAGGCTGTTCTCGTGCGAAACGGCTCCGAGACTACCGAAGCTCGCGATCAAGAGCGACGATGTTGGCAGTGAAGGTAAAAGATCGAATAATCAGAAAAAGTCCTTTCTCTGCTTTGCTTTAAATCTCTAGCTGGCCGACGATTCGCCTCAACAGAATGATTATTGCAGATCTCTTTTTATTTTATCTTCACAATTCTAGGTTTGGACGATTGTTTATCTTTGGCATTTAGATTTGAAGAAACTGATGGAGCGATTCGTGGAAGGAGATGTTTGTGTCATTTATCAGATCTTTAGGGAATTTGTAACGAGCGGACTAAACTGTATAGAGTTAGAAGTTGAGGGAGTGGAGTGGTAATTTTGTATTAGTGGTATAAAGAATAGGCGCCAGGACCGTTGTAACTACTTTTCAGCTGATCAATAACAAACTCACTTTCCCTTCTCTCTCTTCTCTCTCTCTCTCCTCTATGTTCTCTTCTCTTCTGTTCCCTTTCTACCGAGAATTCCTCCATTGCCAAGTCTTCTCATCTCCCAGGACGTGACAAGGTGGTATCAGAGCCTCGACTTGGCTCCTTTCATCATGACGGCGACTCGTGGATCGATTGATGATCGTCTGGCTGGACTCGTGGCTTCGACATCGCAAGCTCAGCTCGACTTGGACGCCAAAATTACTTCTCAGGCGACTCGATTTAAGGAATTGGTGACTCGTGCCGATGGCCATTCGCAGCAATTCGTCAATCTCACAGCTCGTCTCGACTCCATGGAGGCAGGTACGGCCACTCGTTTCACCGAAATTGAAGACCGTTTGGACGATCGTTTTGCTCATTTCACGACGGAGATCCGTGAGATGCTCCACTTAGTCGTGAATCCGAGGCCACCGGGCCCCATTGCTGGTGTGGCGACGCCGCTGGTTGACCGGAATGGGGGCCGAGGCATTTTGCCGCTACCGCCTCAAGGATTTAGGGGAGTTGATCCTGCCATGGCGCAGTTTCCCAGGGCTCCAGCTCCGTTTCCTCGTGCAGTTGAGCGGGAGCAAATTCAGGCTCCAGCCCCGGGTCACATTCATCAACTTCCTCGTCTCGATTTTCCGTCTTTCAATGGCGAGGATCCGCGTGAATGGACGCGGAAGTGTGAGAAACTTTTCGAGATCTACTCCATTCCTCCGGACCAGAAGGTTAATCTCGCGGTCATCTACTTCCAGCGGCGAGCAGATCTTTGGTTCGAAGGCTGGAAGATTGGGCGCCATGAGCTGATTTGGGAAGAATTTGTGGCTGCTCTGTGCCAGCGTTTTGGTAATCGTTCCTATGGCGGTGTGGTCGCAGAGTTCAATAAACTCAGGCAGCGGGGGTCGTTGGCGGAATATCAGGAGAAATTCGAGGAATTGCGTTCGTTAATGGCGCGTTTTAATCCAGCCTTGGACGAGATCTACTTCATTAGCAGTTTCATTAGTGGTCTGGATGAAGAATTGAGGCCGGTGATGCATATGTGGAAGCCTCAGTCCTTGGCGGATGCGTTCCAACTCGCGCAATTGCAGGAAGAATCCAATTTGGCTCACCAGAAGAAATGGCGAGGGGGTCAAGGGAATTCTGGCCGGTCCACTGTCATTCCAAGCAGCTCTTCTGCTCCTCGTCGTTGGGAAGGACCTCCTCCTACCAGAACAGCAGGGGTAAAGTCTCCTGTGGTTCCACAGAAAAACAATGGAGCTAGGGGGGTATGTTACAAGTGTGGGGATCGATACTTCTTTGGGCATGTGTGTGGAGTTAAGAAACAGCTCAATGTGCTTCAGGCTGGTAGTGAAGAAGACATTGCTGATGACAGTAATGAAGTGTATGAAGAAGAAGTGTTGGATCCAGGTGCTGATATGGAGCAGACTGAGTTAGAAGAAGTCTCAATGCAGGCCCTCAACAGTGGTGGCCTGGCTAGCTCCTTCATCGTTCAAGGCAAGGTGAAGAAGGAGAAGATTCACATTCTGCTGGACACTGGCAGTACTCACACATTTCTCAGTGAAAGAAAGGCCAAGGAGCTCCATTGTCAACTAGTGCCTGCCAGTCATCCCTTGCGGGTGAAACTTGCAGATGGCACGGTGTTACTCAGTCAGTGGGTTTGCAAAGGATTTTGTTGGGAAATGCAAGGTAGGGTATTCCAGTATGACATGAGAATCCTTAGCTTAGGATCCAATGATGCAGTTTTGGGGTTGGACTGGCTCAGGACCATCAGCCCGGTTAAGTTTGATTTTGTGGATTTGAAGCTCTATTTTGATTGGGAAGGTCAGGAAGTGGTGTTGCAGGGTATTCAGGATATTGCTCAGTGCAAATTGATATCTGGCAAGAGCCTGCAGAAGCTGTGGAACCGTTCAGAGATTGCTTTTGTGGGTCAACTTTGCAGCCTAGAAGTGCTTAACCAACTGGATGGGGAGTCTGGTAAAAGCAGTAACAAGAATCCAGCTCCTGCATTCTTGGATTCAGTGCTTAAGGAGTTCAGTGATGTTTTTGGAAAACCCCAGTCCCTACCACCATCAAGGGACTGTGACCACACCATACCACTGCAACCAAACTCACAACCTGTCAACCTCAGACCCTACAGGTACTCAATTCCTCAAAAGAATGAAATGGATAGGTTGGTGAAGGAAATGTTAGCTGCTCAGTATATTCAACCTAGCAGAAGCCCTTATGCCTCACCTGTGTTGTTGGTGCTTAAGAAAGATGGTTCCTGGAGATTCTGTGTTGATTACAGGAAGTTGAATGATCTTACTATAAAGGATAAGTTTCCTATACCAGTCATTGATGATTTGTTGGATGAACTTAGGGGATCTAAGTTTTTTACAAAACTTGACCTGCTTTCTGGTTATCACCAGATCAGGATGAATCCCTTGGATCAGCACAAGACTGCTTTCAGAACTCACCAGGGCCTCTATGAGTTCACTGTGATGCCATTTGGCCTCACCAATGCTCCTGCCACTTTCCAAGCATTGATGAACCAGATATTCAGCCCCTACCTCAGGAAGTTTATTCTGGTGTTTTTTGATGACATTTTAATCTACAGCCCTGATCAGGAGAGCCATAAACAGCACTTGGCAACAGCTCTGACTGTGTTAAGGGAGAATACTCTCTTTGCCAAGCCCTCAAAGTGTGCTTTTGGTCAGACTAAGATTGACTACTTAGGCTACATAATCAACCAGGAAGGGGTGACAACAGATCCAGCCAAGATAGATGCCATGGTCAAGTGGCCAGTACCAAGAAATGTGAAGGAGTTGCGTGGTTTTCTTGGTCTCACAGGGTATTACAGGAAATTTGTCAAGAACTATGGTGTGATTGGAAAGCCTCTTACAGATTTGTTGAAGAAGGATAGTTTTGCTTGGTCTGAATCAGCTCAGACAACTTTCATGTCCCTCAAACAGGCCATGATGACTGCTCCTGTTTTAGCTTTGCCTGATTTCACCAAGCAGTTTGTTTTGGAAACAGATGCCAGTGAGATGGGAATTGGTGCTGTCCTCTCACAGGAAGGAAGACCTTTGGCTTATCACAGCCAGGCATTGGGGCCTAGGAAACAAGGACTCTCTACCTATGAGAAAGAGTAC